GCAGCAAGAGCTGGAACAGAGAGGGCTTCTGAAAGGCCTCCACAGTGATTCACCAGATCCTGGTTCTTGCAAAGAAGGGCCAACTCCAGTTGCACGGTCCCTGCCCACACAGTAGGGAAGGGGAGTTTGGGCCCCGTTGCTGGCTCTACTAAGAAGTCCTGAGCAGACCCGTAGCACCGGATCCTTGCTCCACTAGATCCCAGTTCTGCCCATTCCACCGAAGGAGCTGAGGAGGATGTTTCCCTTGATGCTGAACAATTGCAGATTACAATCTTTGCCCAAACAGTCATTGCTGTAATAAATACGGCTGGCTCATACCGTGGCAGTTTGTATCTTCCCTGTTAGTGCGGGCAATGACTCCGTCCCGGGCTTTAGTCCAAACTGCAATGGAGTTTGGCCCAAGGTGCTGACCCCTTCCTTCCTCAAAATGGGTCCAGTACTATGGAGAGTTTTGACTGGAGCCTGCAGTGGATCAACCTGGATCAACCTTTCCAATTTTAAGCTCTCTCCAGTTTATGGCAACCCTATCCTAAGGTTGGCAATCTTGGAAGTGAAGAAAGCATCCGCACTTGTCTTTTGGATACTTAGGGCTAGACAGAGAGTTAGCTTAGCTGCCATCTTGTTTCTCTATCTATGGTCTTTGGTCAGAGTAATTCCTGGTCTAAGAACTCACTTCTTTTCTCCTCCACCTGCTCTGCTAGGCTGGGTCCACACTGCAGAAATAATCCAGTTTGACGCCACTTTAACTGCCATGACTCACTGCTATGGAATTCTAGGAACTGTAGTTTCTGGTGGCACCAGAGTGCTTTGAGACAGAGAGCTAAATGTCTCACAAAACTACAGATCCCAGAATTTCATATCATTGAGCCATGGCAGTTAAAATGGTGTCAACCTGGATTGTGTGTGCAGCGTGGATGCAGTCCTAGAAAGTCAAGGGGGAGGCTTTACATCCCTTTGTTCTCTCTCTTGCTGTCTCTGTCATGAAGAAGGATGCATCAATGAGGCTCTTGTCTCAGGATGGCTAGCCCTCAGACCCCCAAGCATCAGAGTCAGCTTTAGGGACTCTTCTACAAGTATAGGCATTTTTCTTTTGACTATTTTAGTGGGATTTTTTGGTAACATTAAAGTAACGCTTGTTTTTTAACCTTACCAGAGTACTATCCTGTTTTATAGCAGAAGCTCATGGCGCACTCAGACAGGCTGCACATGCTGCATAGTTAAATACTAATAATTTCCTACAGGCAAGAGGGATTCAGAGGAGGTTTGCCATTGCCTTCCTCTGAAGCTGAGTGTGACTTGCCCAAGGTTGCACCCAGTGAGTTTCCATGACAAGGATTTGAACCCTGTCTTCCAGAGTCCTAGGCCAGCGCTCAAACCACTACACCATACTGTCTCAATAATGGCAAGGTTTTCTCAGAGAGAGTTTGTCATTGCCTTCCTCTGAGGCTGAGAGAGTGCGCCTTGCCTAAATGAATCCGGTGGGTTTTCATGGCTAAGCAGGGATTTGAACCCTGTCTCTCAGAGGCCTAGTCCAATACTCAAAGCAC